GCTTTATATATATGGACTTATATTAAATAATATTATATTAAAGGGACTATGCTACAACTTACCTCAAATCTCCGCCGGTTAAAACGGATAAACTTTGTTCTTGATATCCTCCTCCTTTTTTTCTCTAACAGATGTCTGTTGTACGTACGCTGTAGCTCCTCAAACATTGAATAAAATAAAACAAGTAAAAACATTTTCTTTTCAAATTACTTTCAAATTTAGAAATAATTTTCCTAATTAATTTTTCCTCAAGTGTGAGACGCAACGACGCTATGTGTTGGCATAGCAACGTGATACTTCCTGTTTCCTTTTCCGCCCGTCACGAAGGCCGTCTCGTTTAATCCTAGGGTTGAGGACACTCCGTATACGCATCCTAGAGAGGATTCGACCTCCGGAGGGCGCAGCCTTCTAAATGAGACACAGCTACAGCTTTTGGCAGCGAGGACCTCTTGGTTGATCCCGCCTCGCGGCGATGACGTCATCACTAGCGCGCGTTCACTCAGTCAGCGTCGAGTGTTCTGTGGAGAGGTGAGCAGATCATTGTCTTCGCATATTTAATTGTTAAATACACTTTACACAGTTTGTTTATGCAACATATACGAGGTCGTTTCTGCCTTGTTTTCATCCGAGAACAGCGCTGTTTGTGTGTTTGCCGGCTTAAACACTTAGCACGTGAGGAAAAACATGTTAAGTTCATTCATTAAGATCTGAGTGATTTTGTGTGTTCGTGTGAATGATTGTTTCGATGTTTGGAGTGATAATGTTGCTGTTACTGAATGTCTCGTTATCTGTGAGGGGAATGGATTTGAACCGATATCAAATTTTGCTGCTTCTATTAAATACATTTGTTAAAGTAAATTTGTTATAGTTACTTTACATGGTTAAAATTAAGCACAGATACTGCTAAATACTTCATATAATTAGTCTGTATGCCACATGGGATATTTTAAATCTCTACAGAAATATGAAGAGATTTATAATATATATATATATATATACATATATATACACACTGAAAATATTAAATTTGTGCTTTGTGGTACTCTTTCTGTTTAAAGAAGATTTTATGATCATTGTCAATTACTGCACATATAAAACTATAACATGTTAATAATTTAATTACTTTAATTGCTCTGAATGTAGTTGTTAGAAAATCAAACTATATTTAGATACAGTGTAGTTATTTACCTGTAATTGTAAATGAAGATGGGTGTCATCAAATGTCTGTGTTTATGCTTGAATTTTTCACGCTAACTGTTATTTATATTTGGAAGAATTTACATGGTATTATTTTCGATATTTCTAGACGAATATCTTCTTATATGTTAATACTAAGGCAGAATGAAAAATAAAATATGGTTAGAAATGTTAACATTAGAAAGACAGAAAACAGAAATGCATAGAATGTGTGAATTGGCACATATGTGTTACTGAATGAGCATTTTAAATTGATCTGCTCTTTGTGTTGACACTGTTACTTTTAATATAGTAATATAATAATTTACAAAGAGGCAACACTTTGTATTTGTAAGTCTCTTCTGCTTCTAATACATAAATGCTTAAATATGTAAATTATTTTAAAATTTGGCAAATCTGCTTCTTCCACACAGAAATTCATGTTCAGTGAAGCTCCTCCCACAAACCCTGCAGAATGAAACACTCTGAAGATACTGAAGAACAAACAGGTTGGTGTTTATTCTTCATTAATAATGCTGATGGTTATAAAGCTTCAAGCAAATTAAGATTTGTTGTAGTAGGTTACTTTTTTCAATAACATTGTTAGATAATTGTGTAGTTAATCAAACATATTTAATAGTTCTCCCTGTAGAAACATGTTAATTGTGCCTATAATGTTTTAAAAATAATAATTGGAAGATCAATGTACCTCATTCATGGAGATATAATTTACAAAAATGCATCAAAATTACCAAAATTTGGTATAGCAATTGTCTACTTTACACTGTTACATCAGGGTTCATCAGGGTTACTGAGAGTTACTGAAAATGAACCATTTTTACTTTTATTTCAGAGTTGATTGAAGAAACCAAGGAGAATGAAGAATTTAGTGAAGTTGAGGAGAAACCTGAAGAAAAAACTTTGAATTGCTCTCAAACCAAGCAGAAAGATATAAAGAAAAGAAGAGCCAAGAAATCTTTCATCTGCACTCAGTGTGGAAAGAGTTTCACAAGCAAAAATAAATTTGATGTTCACATGAGAGTTCATACTGAAGAGAAACCGTACACTTGTGATCAGTGTGGGAAGAGCTTCACTCAGTCATCAAGCCTTAAGATACACATAAACATCCACACTGGAGAGAAACCTCACAAGTGTTCACACTGTGACAAGAGATTCAGTCGGTCAGGAATCCTAAAAACACACGAGAGGATCCACACTGGAGAGAAACCGTACACATGTGATCAGTGCGGAAAGAGTTTCACACGAAAAGGACACCTTACAGGACATATGAGAGTTCATACTGGAGAGAAAGAGTTTCACACGCAAATATTATCTTGATGGACATATGAGAGTTCATACTGGAGAGAAACCATACACTTGTGATCAATGCGGGAAGAGTTTCACACTAAAAGGACATCTTACAGAGCATATGAGGATCCACACTGGAGAGAAACTTTATACATGTGATCAGTGCGGGAAAAGATTCACACGGAAAGGACACCTTACAGGGCATATGAGAGTTCATACTGGAGAGAAGCCATACACTTGTGATCAATGTGGGAAGAGTTTCACACAATCAGCACACCTTAAGGAGCATATGAACATCCACACTAGAGAGAAACTGTACGCATGTGATCAATGCGACAAAACATTTTTGAGAGCTTCAGACCTGAGGAAACACCTGAGAGTTCATACAAAGGAGAAGCCACATTCATGTCATTTGTGTGGAAAGAGATTTTCATGTTTAGAAAATGCAAAAAAACATCAGAAAATACATACTGGTGCGAGAGATCATGTGTGCTTTGAGTGTGGGAGGACTTTTTCTACAGCTGAACATTTAAAACAGCACCAGAGGATTCACACTGGAGAAAAACCTTATAAGTGTTCACACTGTGACAAGAGATTCAGTCAGTCAACAACTCTGAAAAAACACGAGAGGATCCACACTGGAGAGAAACCGTATCACTGCACTGCATGTGGGAAGCGTTTCAATTGTTCATCTGCTTTACACAGTCATACAAAACACAATCACAGTAAGTAGATCATTCATAGATCCAGCACTTTCAGATCTGAGATTCAGGTCAACTCAAGGATGGAGTTCCTCTCCAAAGAACAATGTCAAAAAGGTTTATTCTTGTATATTATTTTGTTTCATGATATAAATGATGTCATTGTGTTTTCTTATGAGTTTCATATCATGTTCAATTGTCTTATAATGCATGTATCACTTGTTCTGTGAGATTCAGATCAAGTCAAAAGCCCTATTCGGATGGTAAATATTTCTCCAGACACCTTGAGATTGAAATAACATGATAATAGATAATGAACTCATGAAGCAGTGGAAGTTCATTCATCATTTCTATGATGTGAAATTTAAGTATGATCTGATGATGATGATGTTTGGTTTATACGGTATGTTCATTATGTTTGAACTGAACTAACAGACATGATCACAGCAGTCCTACTGACTTCAGTTACTGCTGGATCATTATTCTGAGGTACCACATTATATATATTAATTATAATTATATTATCTTTATATTGTTCGTCGTTTTATACTTTACATTTCATTCCCAGTTTCACAGACTGAGTGTTTTTTTTTTCCCTCTTGATTGTGTCTATCATCTGTCCACACATCTTTCCGGCAGTGATTGTGATTATTGTTGAGTTTGCAGTGTTTGCTGCTCCTGTTGTGACTCTTCTTCAGATCATCTGTGTAAGAGCTGGTGAGTTTTTCAGCCTCACACAATCCAAATTCTGGCCAGAGGAGAACTGACCCCCGACTAAACCTGCTCTCTCCCAAGTTTTTTTCTTCATTTCTGTCACAGATGTAGTTTTGGTTCCTTGCCACTGCCGCCTTTGTCTTGCTTAGTTTGGGACACTTAATTTCTGGCAGGATTGTTGACTTCATTGCACAGATACTATTTGAACTGACCTGAGCTGAATGATTACATTGCTGAATCAACAATGAACTGACTTTAACTGGAAAACTGACTGTTTTCTATTGTCCTCTTGCATTATCAGCACACGTTTCCCTGTTTAACACTGTAAAGCTGCTTTGACACAATCTGTATTGTATAAAGCATTATAGAAATAAAGGTGACTTGATTTGACAATCTGATGATTCGCATTGATCTGTGACAATCTGCAATCATGAGAGCTCAGTAAATGCTTTTGTTTTTAATTATTTTGCAGGGAGGAAGAAATTGCAGCACTGAGAGAAAATAGTGATGAATACAATATTAGAATAAAATACTCTCTACAAATAACAGGCCAGATTACAGCAAGATTTATCTTCATGTCAGTGATTGTATGCAAATTTCCATAATGCTTTTAATGATATTTGCAATTTGATATTATACTGTACTGTAGGGGTTGAACGACTTCTGATTTTTTAAAGTCTACTTTTATGTGATGGAGATCGACTAGTCGCTGATGACATCATTAATGAACAAATAAGTCTGGAGCTGTGACAAATACCTTGTGCACAGCTATGGCATATGACACAGTGCTGCCCACATTGCTATAACAGCAATTGGGTCGTTATACTTCTCATAGATTTCTGCTCATTCTAAATCAGATACAGATAAAGTAGCACAGTAAAGATTACATTCATATGAATGCATTAGTGAGAGCGATTGCGTGTGTGAATTAATTCTACCTGGCAGCGTCTCTCTACTAGTAGTGAAGCTGTGGGAAGATAACTTGGCAACAATAATTCATCGTAAATAATCTTTAAAGTTTTTTTTCTTTTTATAATGCAGATGCCAGCTCTCAATCTAGGACTGCCCACTTCTGCACGTGTGAGGGGTAGGGGTTGAACGACTTCTGATTTTTTGAAGTCGACTTTTATGTTATGAAAGTCGAGTCAAAGTCGACTAGTCGCTGATGACGTCATTAATGAACAAATTCAGTTCTTTTGTCTTTGGGTCATTATATTTCTCACAGATTTCTGCTCGTTCTAAATCAGATACAGATAAAGTAGCACAGTAAAGATTATATGAATGCATTAATGAGAGCGATTGCGTGTGTGAATTAATTCTACCTGGCAGCGTCTCTCTACTAGTAGTGAAGCTGTGGGATTTAGTTATTAAGAAATATATGCTTGAACGTCAAGCGACGTCAAGCCTAAAGCTTCATGGCAGAGCATTGAAGTCGACTAGTCGATTAGTCGGTGCAACCCCTACTGTACTGAATGTTGTAGATATATTAATTACCATGACCATCAGCGCAAGACAGGTGCCTTTAATAGCCATGAATCGTTACATGAATCTTTTTACAGAAGGCTTTTTAAATGTTGAAATAGTGCATTTTAACTGATAATGTCAGGCTTCTGTCACTTCAGTCTAGTTTTTCATGGTTTTGTGACAGAGCCCTGACACTCCTATAATGTCTAGGTTCATGTAAGGTGCACAGCTTTGAGTGTGTGAGTTTTTCACAGGCTGCATGCTTTCATTTTGTCATGTTTTGTGTGTTCTCATTAGCTGTGGTTTCTTGTCTTTGTTACATCTTAAGTGTCTAGGGGTTTAAAGGTAACGTAACAATATTAAGGGTTTAAGAAGAGCATTTGCCCGAGCCCCTGCCACAGCATAACAACAACTACAACAAGATCCCTTTAACAGGTTTTATTAACAGCTCTGAGAGTATACATGATTCTCAAACAAAAGAACGTAAAATTAAGAGGAAAGCAAAAAAACTTCAGGAGAGGGAGCAATGCCAAAATAACAAACAAAAGTTTTTCTATTCTGGGGGTTAGATTCTTTCTAAACCTGTCAAATAAAAGAAAATCAACAACAAAATTATATGCTCACTCCCTATCTAATCCTCAAACCAGGAGAAAACATGTACAGTACAAAAGAAAAGGCACCCACCTCCCTACAGCTTCCAAAAGGATAACAATCAATCAACAGAGTAACGGCTTAAGCAATTGGTAACAGGGAAATACAAAATAAGTGTTAAACAGCAAAGCTGTAGGCTGAGTATCTTGCTCAACACAGAGCAAGAAAGGTTACCTAGGGCTTCTGGCAGCAACAGAGAATTAGTCAACAGTTCTTCAGATTAATGAAGATAACAACCATACAGAACTCCAAAAGGCTTCAACAAACTGAGCTGAGCAGGGCTGGAAAAAGGACATGCTCTGGAAAACAGTTCTCATCTTCTGAACGTTCTGCTCAGCTTTTATACTGCTTCTCTCTCAGCTGGTAAGTAGGTGCAGCTGGAAAGGCCAATCAGCTACCTGCCAGAGTGGAAAGAGTGGGAGGAGCCAGAGAAGCAGGAGACACAGAGAGAGAGAGAAACCATACCACAATACACAATAGACACAGAAGGAGACACAGAGAGAGAGAGAGAGAAACAACAAAAAGAACCATACCACAATACACAATACAGATAACACAAAAGTGATTACGTCACTGGACGTAACACTCCCACCCAGAAGTTACAAATAGTACCCCATAAAAATTTGTAAACTCATAAATTAAGGTTCAACAACATCATACTATCAACAACCTAATTATCCAAATTATACACCCTAGTGTAACGGGGCGAACGAGACGTGAGACGTGCAGATCCATCTGCAGGCTTTTATTAGACAGAGACGTGGTCATAAAACAGGCATGGGTCAAACAGTGGCAAACAGGTACATTTCAGGCAAGACAAAAGAGTATCCAAAGGAAGCCGTGAGTCAGTCGACGGTGAACGTAATCCTGAGGGCGAGGCAAATGGGGAATCCACAAGACAGGCTAGAGTCCAGGCGAGGTGCAAACACAGTCCAAAACAGCAAGGCAAAGGGTAATTCCAAAACAGGCTATAAACTTCAGGGCAGGCAGAGATCAGACAAAACGAGATAACAGGCAAGGATCAAGACACGGGTAAACGGACTAAGAACAAGGCTATACTAGATTCAGGAACTTGGAATGGCTCTGTAAAGTGGCTATCACTAGATGAGCGATAAACGCTAAACAATACTCGGCGACTTGAACAGGATGTGAGTGGGTGTTATATCCCCAAGGAGCGGCTTCCAGACGCTCCTATCTCAATATAATCCAGGAGGGCGGTGGAGCGGAGGCGGAACAGGGGGAGGGACGGAGGGCCAGGTCCACATGGAAGTGGAGAGACTGAGGACTGAAGCAGAGCAGGGCACCCAGGCGGAACCGGCGAAACAGCAAGCCAGGGCGGAGCAGAGAACCAGGATGGAACTGTCAGAGCAGGGAGCCAGGGCGGAGCAGACGGAGCAGGAGCCCACCAGGGCGGAGCAGACGGAGCAGAAGACCTCCACAGCGGAGCAGACGGCGCAGAAGCCCACCAGGGCCGAGCAGACGGAGCAGAAGCCCACCAGGGCCGAGCAGAAGACCACTACGGCGGAGAAGACGGAGTAGAAGACCACCACGGCAGAGCAGAAGACCACCAAGGTGAAGCAGCCCACTCTAAAAGAGTGTTAAAGTAACACTGAAGCAGTATCTCATTAAAGTTAATGAGACAATGATGTGATTAATTAAGTGCTGATTGAGCATTAGTGATGAACAGCTGCTGTTAACAAGCAGAATCACTGAAGAAAAGAGAAACAAGAAATACAACTGACTTCAGCCACAGACTTAGATAAAATTAACTGAAATAAAAGAAGACATTAAATCTCTCAAGATCTCAGCAGAAGATGATTGAACAATTGCCACTTGACCCTTGACATTTTAAAGTTAAGTTTCTCTTTGGCTGGCACAATTGAGTGTATTAAACACATATGTGATGGCAAGGAACTTATGATGAAATCATGTTGTGTCTGAGTCTCTGATTGCAGTTGATCTAAAATTGTGGTGCTTTTATGCTTTCTATATTGTTTCAGTTATATGAGATAACGATATGAGAAAAACTTCATAAATGACTTTTACAAATATGGTTCATAAAAAGGTTCCAATTCTGGCACTCATAGACATGAAGAATCAGCATGTGAATCTCCGCAATGGTGACAAAATATTCTGATAATTTTTACGTGATTTTTGAATGTCACTAAACAAGGCAGTAAAAAGTCACAACAAAAAATAAAAATAAAAGCAAATACAAAGACAATGCAGCTGCATAATTTATTCATGTCACAATGCATGCTGGGAGCCATGGATGAGTTATGATTGGTGCACCCAGAATGCAAT